GGAAATATGGGAGGAGTTGGAGGGGAGAGAGTGGGTGTGGATTTGATCAAAACACCTTATATGCATGTATGAAATTCTCAATAAAGTTTTGTTTGTTTGTTTGTCTTTTTGGAGACAGGGTCTCCCTGTAGCCCCAGCTATCCTGGAACTCACTATGTAGACCAGGCTGGCCTTGAACTCATAAACATCTGCCTGCCTCTGCCTCCTAAGTGCTGGGACTATAGGCGTGCACCACCAGCAATAAAGTTTTTTTTAAAGTTAAAGAAAAAAAAGAACAACCAACCTCAAAAAGTGATCTGATAAGGGCTTTATATGTGGGTAGAATTATGAAACATGTGTCTTCCACTCCAAACTTAAAAGAAACCTTGGAAAAAAATCCTTTTTCAAATACACAACAAATACAGCCAACTTATAAAGGACAATAAAAGGGGTCATTTCTTCAGTGGTTTTTTTTTTTTTTTTTTTGTCTTTTTGAGACAGGGTTTCCCTGTAGCCCCAGCTAGCCTGGAACTCAGAGAGATTTGCCTCTGCCTCCCAAGTGCTGGGAATACAGACATGTGCCACCATGCTAGGCTCTTTTCAGGTTTTTTTTTTTTTTAAGGGAAAACATGTAAAATTGTTTATGGCAAAATTCATTACAATGACAATTATCCACAAAAAAATTTTTTAAAGGGACCTAAAATACTTAAGCTCAAGGAAGCAAAATGTAGCATGGTGGCTGGTGGCTTGGGGCTGAGAGGTGGGGAAATGAGGAGCTGGGGGTCCACTGATGTTTCATGCAGGATAAAAAAGTTTCAGAGATATGTATTCACATGGTGGTCACTGTTAACAATGCTGTATGCATTACAGACTTAAAGATGTGCTAAGAGGGGAATTATCCACATGAACTCAGCAATGGAGACAGCATGTACAAGACCCACGTCAGCTCAAGCCAGACAAAATCCCAGCACAGAAGTGGGGAAGTAGGAAGAAGCCCCAGCCCTAGCTGAGGAAATATTTGCAACTGATGGCCACTGGGAGGGGGGAAATCAGTTTTCTTAAGGTTAACCAAGCTCCAGTGGATGAACTCAAATCAAAGGGAATTGGGGACAGAAATTTGACCATATATATAT